CACAGTTTCAAACCCCTCTAAGTTACTGGCTCTTACACCAGCTTAGAAATGCAGTACGATTGCAACATTTTTTTCACAGGTTCATTTCCTCTCTGCATTTTTCAGATATACTTCTATTCTTTTGAAGTGTTCCACACAGCCAAGTTTGAAGAATACCTTATCCCATATGTGTCCCTGGGAGTTGGGCTGTGTGAATGCTTATCCTCTATACTGTGTGTAAGTTTTTTCAGACTTGAGTTTGCAGGAAAAATTTAATGTGGTCAACAATTGTACTTTTCCTTACTGATAAATGGACTCAGGGAAGATTTGCATAGCCTAAGACACATCTTCCTGTTTCTGCAAAGCCACATGAAGGATAAAAGGCAGCTCTTTTGCCAAAGTATTTGCATGACTGTATGTCTTTATAGACTTATTTTTATTCCATAAAATAATTTCCTGATGTTCTAGATTAGATGTGTGTATGTATGTGCACAATTTGATATACACTAGCACACAAGAAAGGGAACTGTCTAACAACAGCCTAGGGTTGACTAATAAATACAGCTTAATTAATAATAAATTAGCCTTGAAGAAGCTAATAAAATTCATTAGAAATTAAGAGATTCTCAAATGACATTATTCAGATAAGTCTTCCAACAAAATCACATGGAGAGGGGAGGAATTATTTCATTTGAGAACTGGGATTTATGACCTGTGTTTTCTGCATTTCAGAGCACCCTTATAGACCGATTTGGGAGGAAGGTGCTGCTATGGGGAGGATACATGCTGATGTGTTCTGTGCTAGCACTCCTTACCATGACCCTGTCACTGCAGGTAAAGAGGCAGCAGCTGGTTCCTTACCCAGCATCAGCCCACCTTTCTGATCTTGCCTCACACAATTGTATAAAAACTTGAGTCAGTGGCAGAAAATACACAGCTCTGGTATTCTGTCAAGTGTCTAACAATTTGATATCACTGGTTTCTCACTTCTAGCATCAATTTTTCTGGATGCACTACTTCAGTGTTATCTTGATCTTCCTATTCGTTATCTTCTATGGAATTGGACCATGTGAGTACATCAATGGCGATGCTGGGAGGAAATTTTGTATCATATTTGTTGGTGGCACAACTGGCAGAGGAAGAACAGTCTAGTCCCATGGTAAAAAGTTCTGGTAATTAAGGAGGGAAAGGCAAATGTGTACAAGTGGGAGACAGGAAAAGGATACAGACACCTCAGATTTTATTACTGATCACAGGATCTTAATAATTTAAAATACAGTAGCATCTTCTCCAGAGGGTTTGAGACAGAAATTTCAGAACAATTTTAAAAATATCCAGCTAAAACCAGCATTCTAGGCATTGCCAGGGACATCATAGTAATCATATCCTCCATTAACCTAGCGAGTTAAGTGTTATGCCTGCCCACATGCTTCAGGTGGAACTGACCACAGGAGCCAAACAGGCTGGTTTTATAAATTGTGGTGCTCATAATGGCTACCAGTGCAATATGGAACTGCACAGATCCACTGGCACCAGAAAAAGGATTCCAGTATGTACAAAAGAAACCTAAGTTGAAAGCTAATATCCTAATTTAACAGCTGTGGTCCCTTTCTGGAATCAAGGTCTTTCACCATAGCAGATGCCACCTGCCAGCAGGCCACCTATTCTGCCTGTCTGCCTTTTTCTGCCACTGCCATTGTGAGGATTTTCATCAGGAGCAAGGAAACAAGTATACCTGGTTTGTGTTTTGCTTTTCTTTTTCAGCTGGAGCCACTATATCTGTCATGGTTGAAATCTTCAGTCAATCATTCAGACCATCAGCCTTTCTGATTGTTGGCTGCATCAATTGGATGGGACTTTTTGTACTTGGGATGATTTTTCCATTGATTGTTGTAAGTGACTCTAACTGGATCCCTCCCTCCAGGCTAACCCACTACTGAATGCCGACAGGAAGCAAAATAATAGCAATAAATTGCAATGATGTGCAAAGCTTAGAGCTCCGTCCAAGCACCAAACCTGCTCAGGAATCCTCCAGGTCTGTCAGAGGAGCAGCAGTTGGACTCAGGTCAAATGTGGCCATGGAAACTCCTGGTTTGATACTCGTCCTGGTTTGTGTATTGAGCACACCTTTGAATTTTAATTGCTAAGACACAGACTTGCACCCAAGGGCAGGGAAATAGAAATGAGATTCTTATTTTCCTTACAGTGTCTCCCATTTCTGCTTGCAGGATAACCTTGGACCCTTCTGCTTCCTTATCTTTTTGGGAATCCTTGCTTTATCAGCAATTTTCATCTACCTGTATCTCCCTGAGACCAAGGGAAAGTCAATCATGGAAATAAAAGCAGAGTTCAACAAGCTGAATTTTGGAAAAAAGGAAACCTCAGTCACTGAAAATAACTTTCCTAAGGAACAGTTGTTCTGCACCAAACTCTGAATGTTCAGAGGAGAAATTTGCATCCCTTAGAAAAGACAGGAAACAATGTTGCAATAGAACTACACAGGAAACATTAAAAACAGACTGCAAGCTCTTTGGTGTCTTACTCCTTTTTTCTTTTTTTTTTAACATAGATACGAAATCCATTATGCTAGGGTTTTATTTCTTGCTGATATCTAAATATTTTCACAGGAAATTTCATCACTCACTTTTAAGATCTACTGGATATAATAAGATTTTTTAAAAAAACAACCTCTTATGCTAGTCTCCCTTATTAAGTTTAAAAAAATTTTATTAACAGTCTGAAAGGCCCAAATCTTGGTACAGGAACATACACACAGGCTCTGCTCACAGCCCTGGACTCAAAACCCTGGGCCTCAGTTGGTCTCCCTTGTTCCCAGGAGTCCTGTACAATGCCACACATACCTGAACAGTTTGTTACTGAGCTTTCCTAAACAAGACCTCACTAGCTCTAAGCACCTCATAATCAGGAAACTGCTGAAAAATAGTTCAGAGTATCAGAAATATGAAGGAACAAGTGAAATAATTTAAGAAGACAAACCAAGGGAAGGAAGGATTAGGAAGGCTAAATGATCATCAGTCATGAGGCTGGGAAAACACAGAAGTAAAAAATATTTTCCTAGCTGGTTTATAGAGGAAAAGCTAGATCCATGGTTTAGGGTGACCTGAGCAGATAGCGGTTCAAAACTGAGCACAGTAAATTAGGAAAAAAAGGTTCTAGCGTGGTAATTGTAAAAATATATTGAAAGTTAAATTGTACTATGCAATCCTTCTGGAGATGTAATGGAAATCTCAGTGGAGAACATCCTAGTACCTCTAGGCAGGGAGAAGGACCTGCCAAACAGAGTTGTTGTTACATGCAAGAGAAGTAAAACGGCTCCTATAGAATAAAGCACACTCCCAAGAGCATCTGTGGTGTCTAAGGACCCGATTTCCAACCTGGCATGTAAGCTTCTGGGAATTACATCAGATGTTTTCAGAGAAGAAAGAGTTTGTTTTGGAAATGTTTTTCTTGTTATGTAAGCAAGCTGCAAATAACTAGTGATTATTGTACCCAGCAGAAAAAAATAGGTTGTGAAGTTCATTGGAAATACAGTCTAAGTTTTTCCAAGTAACCACTAACAACTACAGTATGATTTGTGACTAAATGCTTTGGATCATGCCACCTGTTTTCAACTAATCACTGAGGAAAAGGTTCATCAATATTACAAACAGCAGTTCCTCTCCTTATGGATGGAGCTGTCACTTGAATTTGGTTTTAATGCTTTGACACAGGAAACATGCTCTGAAAATTCTATTTGTACAAACAGACTTTATTTCTGGATTTTTTATTCAGGATTTTCATTATTTTCAGAATGTTTTGGACATGTGATATGCAATCCACCAACAAGGGCTGTAGATGAACACTGGCACATAATAGTTAATCTTCTGACTTTTTATTTGCTGGCTTTTTACAGCAAGGGTGCTACAGGGAAGGAACTGACTTAAAATCAACATACACCACACAGTCAACTTAAGCATGTTCATATGGAGGTTTTCACCAGTTAAAAGTATTTGTTTAAATTACATAGTTGCTATAGAAGCTCTCCCTCTTTTCTGCAAGCTGGGGAATGGAGAAAGTAGAAAAGTCCTTAACTCACAGGAACTATTGGGCATAAAGACACCTATCACCTTTAACATGGAGAGATTAACAAACCATTTCTTTTACCCCCATCAGCATTTTCAACCTACTTTCCCCATACACATCTCCCTGTGAACACCCCCTACCAAATGCCATATGACCCCTCTAAATCACTTCTCTCATGTAAGACTCTACTAGGCAGCAAAGAGAACTGATCCCAGCTCTGCCATGTACTCCACTCTGGATAAAACCTGCTCATTTTAGAAAGCCTGTGGATTTCCTATCTCTCAGGAGATCCTGTTGACTGTTACGGTACTATTTGCACAACAACAGAGCAAGTTGAAAACAAGCCTCCTCTGAGTATGCAGAATCCAGTGATCACCACAGTGGAAAATCAAGACCCTGATTTTAAGGCATCTTTGTCCTGACTTAGTCACAGTTCAGGGAAGGTCTCCACAACATGTGATACTGTGGTTTTTCTGTTACAGTCTATTCCACAGAAAGAGTTCCAGACCTCACAACTGAGGTGTCCATCTAAATTTTTAAAATAATTATAAGACTTGCACAAAGAGGCACATTATAACTCTCCCACTTTCAAACAGTCCCTGAAGCACTTGCTTTTTTCACTGGTTTTCACGATCAGGCTGTATCCAAATATGAAGCATCATTGTGAACGCTTTGATTTCCAGAGCGCAAAAAGGCAGCATTCCCACCTGGGAAAGCTGAACACAGACCATCTGCACCAGCAGCCCACAGATGGCACATGCAGCCTCCCCTCTCCCCAGGCACTCCCACCCTCCTGGTACACCTAAGGAAGGCACCCCTCCCTATTTAAAGGCTCCTGAGGTGCTTATGAACACAGTGGGGTAAGCTGCCTTGCAGGTAAGTTAGAAACAAAGCTGTGAACAAGGTTAGCTGAAAGAAAACCCTCTCTCCATCCAAAGATGCCTAAGTTCATTCTTAACACAAATATAAGCAAGGATAAAGTTCCAGAGTCTTTCACAGGGGAGCTCACCCAGCAGTTATCAAAAGCAATGGGCAAACCAGCACAGGTAAGTCCAGTGCTCAAATGTTTTCTTTACTTAGTCAGCTGTGCCTATACAATGAGCTATTTCTCAGCAATAGCCTCTATAAACTAGTATACCTAATGACTCGCCAGTATTTAGAGTCTTCTCTCTGCACAACTGTAAAATACTTGTTTGCTGTAACTTAGCTCTTTCAAGGTCTTCAAATGCTTAAAGAATTTAAGCTAGCTTTGTATATAATGGTATTCCATGTAGGACAAGACACTGGATGTGTGTGGGTATGTATATGCAGGTATCTGTGTGAATACCTCTCAAGAA